TTAATAATGTGATGGATAATGTTACATTTCAAGAATCTTATTCTCAAAGGTAATTTTATATTATGTGAATAAAAAACACTCTTAATATAAATACTAATTTCGATTACTCAATGTTAAATGACACAAATGAGGTGGATAAGACTTTACATTATCAAATTCAACATAAACTTGAGTACCAAGTCAATTAGGCTTTTTGCAGACAAGCCTTCTACAATATTCTAAGGATGGAGTCAAGTTTAACGGACTTATAGAGTCCAATTTATCTCAATGTCTTGTGGATCGCTAATATAAAATCGTTGATTGATTTATGTAAACAAACTCTTTTATGTTTTTATTTATATTTTAACTTTTCCAATGATTTATATAATCTCGACCAATTTATACAAATACACTAATTATTATAATATTTTAGTACTTTGATGGATTTGTTTCTTTATACCCATGAGAACCTGAAAACCATTTTTTCATCAATTAAGTAGTCTGAGGTGGTCAGTGGTCTGGTCACTGACATTAAACTGTCAGCCTGTCTGTTTTTCAATGTTGTTCAGTTGGAGCTAGGTATAAAACATGGGACATAGATTCTTGTCTGCTTTTTCCTTTCGTTTTCTCTTAACAGTATTAATGCATAAAAAAAGAAAAATGTTATCTAATAATCATGATGTTTGACAGTGTTTTAATAATTTCGTATATAAAAATAAGTATTTTAGAAAGGAAAAAAAAGAAATAATTCAGGCAATCATAAATGTATAATGTGGAAATGTTGTCTTAGAAGAAAAACTAAAAAACAAAAAGGGTGAAAGAAGTGATGAAAGAGATGTTGAAGGGCATAATAATGGCCTATCAAATGGGGTTTGTTCAATGTTTCCCTACAAGGGTCAAACAATCAAACCCCGACTCACTCATCGTCACTGGTTCTGCTTCCAAAGGGAGTGGCTGAACTCACTCAGCGCCCACTGGTTTGAAACAGAAACTCGTAGGTTCCTCTTTTAACTGGTCAAAGCCTATTTGGGTCAATCAAGCAAAGCTAAATGGTAACATTAAACAAAAACTTGACCCACTTTTTCTTTATTCAATAATGAACTCGGGATCAGTGATTCCAAGGGCCATGTTCACTCGGTGACAAAAAGGGCTAACACAAAACAAACAATCTGGACAAAGCAAATGACACCATTGCTTTTTGTAAATTTTAATGCTGGTTTCTTTTATTGCCTTGTTTTGTTTTCATGCATATAAAAAAAAAAAGAAAACCAATATAGGAAACAAGGAATCAACTTTATAACTCTTTCGATCCCACATCTTGAAAAAACCTCACTCATTCTAAAGGAAACGCCTTTCTTTCAATGTGTTCATGTAGAAACCAGCAGCATTCACAAACACCAAGCCCTCTTTGATTTCATCGAGTTTGTCTACGTATTCAGTTTCCATATAGCTTTATCATTTCCGGGTAATTCCTCATCAGTGGAGACAGAGAGGAGTGATGGTGTAATTTAGACATGAGAGGGGCCTACACCTTAATTTTTGGCGGGCAGCAACGGTCACTTTCAATGATTTCTCTTTGGAGGTGGTTTTCTCTCAATGTCCCATCTAATCTCACATATTCACATACACTTGCCTAATTGCTAGCTAGAGAAACAGGATCTTATTCTCATTCTGTAGAAAGAGGAAGAAAAAAAACATAGCTTTCATTCTTCTTCCAATTGTCTCTACCTTAGCCTTTGTTTTCGTTTTGTTAAAATAAAAGGAGAGGGAAGTGTGGATTTTGTGAAACCCTCGAGCTGTCTTCTTAGGTGCTTGAGCTGAAGAGAAATTTTCAGATCTCATTCATATGAAGAGATCTTTCAGTGTAAGTTGTTTGATCTTTGCTTTTCCTTTCGACCCACTGTTTTTGTTGTTGTTTTCTTTAAACATTGTATTTTTGTCTTTCTGAACGGGTCTTAGTAATGTTCCCAGTCTTCCTGCTACAACACTATGTTCTTGGGAGTTTGAACAATTGAACAAGGTCTAAAGAAAGTGTTTAAAAATGTGTTGTGGCAGGAAAGTTTGATTCATCTACAATCATTTTTGTACACATTACAAAATTGATTTAAGGCAATGGTTGGGATCTAAATGAACAAAAAATGGTTCTTCCTTTTAGCTTTCATGAGTGTTGTAGACTATTACTAGTTGTGGTGAGCAAATGCAATTTGCTTCTTCCATTATGGATTGGCTGTTTCTTCTCGTTTTCAAGTTACCCTTTTTGTTAAATGAAGTTCATTTGCTCACAACAACTACTAATTTTCCATGACTGATAAAGTTAATCTGTGACTACTTTTGCATGTTTCTCGTTTTCCTATTTTCATGCATCTTTTGATTCACTTTGATGTTAATTCTGGCATTCATTTTTCTTTTACTACTTGTTTGCAAATTGCTGATATTTGCTTTTCACTGTCAATTGATTTAACATTCATGATCGATTCTGAGAACATTTCATTTCAGCTGGTCGATGTTCTACTGGTACTTGCAATTTTCAGTCATATTACATGGACTGTCAAGAGCAGCTCACATTGCAAACATTTCAGAATGCCATCTTCTACCTCAATTCATTTGCTGACAAAGGTGGGGCCAAGCTTTTTGTCCCAGCCGGCCGGTGGTTGACAGGAAGCTTCGATCTCATCAGTCATCTAACTTTGTGGTTAGACAAGGATGCAGTGATTCTTGGATCCAATGTAAGTCGTTATCAACTTAATTCAAAACCAACATTTACGCATAAGATTTGGAAAAAAAACCATAGTTGCATGTACCAATTTTGTGGTATGTGGGATTTAATCTGTTGTTACAATGGTTGATGCTGGAGACTACACATTCGAGCTATTTGTAAGCAAATCAATGCTAATGAGGAGAACATACTAAATGATGCGAGCATAACATCTAATTTGTGATCATGGATGCTTATCTATTTGTTATCTTTTTGTCTATGCCCCAAGTTTAACCGAGTATTTGCATAGATTCATTCTTATTGCATAGTTTATTGTTGCAGAGTTCTGATGACTGGCCAGTTGTTGATCCTCTGCCTTCCTATGGCCGAGGTAGGGAATTACCTAGTGGAAGGCATCGGAGCCTTATATGGTCGCAATTTGACTGATGTAATCATAACAGGTTAGTAACATTGATGAAAATTAATGATCTGTAAGCATTTTATGTTCTTTCATCGATGCCACGGGTTCTTATCGCAGGTGAGAACGGAACTATTGATGGACAAGGCAGTGTTTGGTGGAACTGGTTTAGACGTGAAACTCTGAACTATACTCGCCCTGATCTGATCGAATTGATGAACTCAACGGGGATTGTAATCTCGAACTTGACTTTCTTGAACTCTCCATTTTGGACCATCCACCCAGTATACTGCAGGTTTGAGGTTTTCTTTAATATCAGCATGCCCGCCTTGTTTAGATTACCGTTTTCATAACAGAACTGCCAAGAGTGAAAGCATTTATTAATTAAGTTGAGATTTTCATTTGTTTAATGGAACAGCCATGTCATAGTCCAGAATGTCACAATCCTGGCTCCTCTGGATTCACCAAACACTGATGGGATAGATCCAGGTGAGTAATATACTAACATTGGCATCTGGTTTGTAATTTCAATTATAAGCATTCTTACTTACATGTTTGAATATTCAGATTCTTCCGATGATGTTTGCATCGAAGACTGTTACATTAGCACCGGAGACGATCTAATTGCCATCAAAAGTGGGTGGGATGAGTATGGCATTTCGTTTGCTCGCCCCAGCACAAATATTATAATCCGGCGGCTTATTGGAAACAATCGAAATGGCTCTGGGATTGCAATTGGAAGTGAGATGTCTGGAGGTATATCAGAAGTTTATGCAGAAAACCTCTACTTCTTCGATTCTAGCACAGCTATCATTATCAAGACAGCTCCTGGAAGGGGTGGTTATGTGAGAAATATCTACATATCAAATGTTACCTTGGTTGGTGTAGACACAGCGATATGGTTCGATAGTAATGCTTCTCAGCACCCAGATGAGTTATACGATCCAAATGCTCTCCCTGTAATAGAAAGGATAACTGTTAAAGATGTGGTAGGAGATAACATAAAAGTTGCAGGCCTCCTCAAAGGGATAGAAAGGGACACTTTTAATCATGTTTGCTTGTTGAATATTAGTCTCAATGTAACCTCAAAGTCCCCATGGAACTGCTCATATATACAAGGATACTCTGCCTTGGTTACCCCAGAAACTTGTGAACCTCTCAAGGAAAGTGTCTACCCCAACCATTCTTCGGATTGTTACCATCTATCGAATCATTTGCGGAGTTCAGGTTATCAAAACAGAGGCTCTTGGTTGCTTTCTTGGTAAATTTTGAGACTTTTCCCTCTTTCTTTTTTTCAAAGTGGGAATGTTGATTCTTGCCATTTCTCGAACACAACAGCCCGATATGTTGTTGTCGACTCACGAGAAGCTGTCTTTGCGAGTTTTGTTCTTTCTTTTTCTTTGTAACTTTGTGCGCAGTAACAAATAATTGAGTGATTTGCGAGGGAAAGAAAACGAAATAGAGAGAAGTTTGTATTTGAGAGGCTTTTTTTGGGAGGGGGCTTGGTTTGTTATAGTCTGAAATGCCAACAGATCAAATCTGGGCATGTTACTTAGAGCAAAGTAAAAAGAAAGCTGAATGAAATATAGACACACGGGAAAGTTTCTACTTTGATTTGTCTTATCTATTGTGATTGTGATGTATATTCCATCCAGGCTGTTTCCCGGAGAGCTGCAATCTTTTGTCTGAAATGAAGGGCAATTTCCTTACTTTGGAAGGACATGTTCTCAACTGAAATTGGTCCATTGTCTTTGGTTGCATTGGTTCATTTGCCTTGGATGATAGTGTTATATTTGTTTGTGTTTCGGCACATTCAGAGCAAATAACATACTAGGATTCATTCAATCACAACCCAACACAGCATAAATTTTATTCACCTGCCCCTTGTCAAGCAGATTGACTGTAGTAATACAATTAAAGGACCGTATCTGAACTTATTCGATCGAGTCCATCGCCATCAGTTTGTTACAAATATGGCAGCATGGATGCTTCCCGGCACAATCCCTGATAACGTGAGAAGCATATTTACCCACAGTTTGGCCTGCAATCAACTCAAAATACAGATGGAAATAAAAATATGATTCTCAAAGTGTATGAAAAACATTTAAAAAACAAATGTGAGTAAAAGGAGAGACGACTGACCGTACAACGTTTTTGCTTCTTATATATGGCAACAGGAGGCAGAAAGACTGCGAGCATAATATCAAGAAAGTCGGCTTCTTCTTCTTCTTCTTTCTTCTGTGAATGGCTTTCATTTTTGCAGCTAAAGCATCTGCATTTGACGCAGATACAGATTGTTTGATTATATGTTTGAAGATTTGACCTCAGATCTGCGGTGGCTTGATAGGACGATGGAGTATACCATGGCTTATATAGAATCCAACATACGCTTATGCAAATAGCCTTTACGACATTGCCTGTTAAAGTGTAAATGGAATAAGTTCAGCTGTGACATTGGCAACATGATCTCACCATCCTGATTTCATATATTTATTACCAATATTTTTTCCACAATTGTGTTGCATTGTATATTTATGTGTTTGATTATCTTTAATTAATTAATTATTCACATTTAGTTTAAATAATACATTCAAATTTTCTACATTAATATATTATTTATTTATAAATTTCAATAGTTCAATTTACAATAAAAGTGTGACTCAAAATTAATATAAAATACAATTTAATATTTACAGGGATTTATTTTATTTTTAGGGTAAACTATGTCATTGACCCCCTAACTATTGCCCTTTCTCATTTTGGCCATCATTTTTTTAAATTTTATCAATCAAGTCACCTAACTATTTAAATGCAATTCAATCAAGTTACCTGCCGCTAACATTTGACGGAAATGCTGACGTGGTACTTAATAAAATTAGTATAATTACACATTTGATCTTCAATACTTATATATTCTATCAATTTAGTCATTATTTTAATTTAATTCAATAAATTTAATCAACTAATTATATAATGTCACATGTCACTGTTTAATTAAAGGTTAATTTTTTAAAATTTAATATATTTAATTTAATTATTTTCTCTTCCAACCAGATAGTGATGAGTGTCACTATCTGGTTGGATGGATAACAAATTAAAGATGGCTCAAACTTAGGTCATTAGCTGTGTTGCAAGCGCCTTAACCACTCAGCCTGTCTCATCATTTGAGTTGTGAAATACGTCATATATATATATATATGGGGCATGATCCAACTACATAGTGTAAAACTTTTTAGTTTTACACATTTTTAGGATCGTTGGATGAGAGAAATCAAATATTGATATTAACAGTATGAAATGTGAAGATTTTCACTGGAAAAAAAAATAAGGAGTTAATCTCAGCCTTTGATTTTCCCTCATCCAACGATCCTAAAAAGGTGTAAAACTTTTAGTTTTACACTAGGTGTAATTAGATCTTAACCCATATATATTTGAGTATTGGAGATTTGAGAACTTAAGTTTTAGGGAAACTTGAGGATTTAAAGGATTGGAATAATAACAGGGAATACTTGATAGTGAAGCCTAATAACAAGTAGGTGGATGTTCAACGACATTGATAATAATAGATTTTGAGATTAGATTTTTTTTTTATTTTTAGATTTTAGAGATATTTAACTTTTTTTTTTAAAAATATTTTTACTCATAATTACCAATCTCCGCTAACATCCATTTAAAGGAGTGATTAAGATTTTTTTATGTATTGATGTTTCAAGTTTAAGATTCAAATCTTAATGAGTTAATTGTATCATATGTTTTCATACTATAACCTTTATCTTAAATTGATTCTTATATTCCAATTTTATCTTTAAACTATGAATTTCATTTTAGATTAGTTCTTAAACTTTTGACCATTCTAATTTCACCCCTAAACTTTGACTTTTTTTTCTAAATTAGTCCCTAAACTTTTAAATATTTCAATTTCATCCCCAAATTCATCCAAATATATAATTAGTTTCAACCATAGTTTAACCCAATTTTTGTTTTTTCAGACATGTAATAATATAACTTGGCTTAACGATTTTATTAACAAGGGATGCAATTAGTATATACGTATAATCTGAGATGAAATTGAAATGTTCAAAAATTTTGGGGACCAATTTAGAATGAAGGTCATAGTTTGATGATGAAATTAAAATATTCTAAAGTTTTAGGACTAATTTAGAATGATAGTTATAGTTTATGGATGAAAGTGATATATTAAAAGTTTAGGGAACAATTTAAAATGGAGATCATACTTTGAGGACATGTGTTGCAAATAACTAAATCTTAATAGTAGCATTTCTCTTCTTCACTCTATGAAGAAAAGGTTTCCAATTTTTCACGTGTAGGTAACTCTGGCTTCTTCTTACTTGCAACAATTTGGAAGAGAGAAAGACGATAAGCATAGCAAGCAAGGAGAAAAGCAAAAGGCAATGTCCCACACTACCCCCACCATTCATCACCCTTTTTACTGCTCCGAAATGGTCTCTCAACAAACGCTATCAAATTTGAAATTTATTGGTTAGTTTCACTTTTGACCTCCAATTTTGATTCTGATTTGTAATTTAACTTCAATATTTTTTGCAATTCGACCTTGACTTTAGTTCAGATCTATAATTTGGTCCCTAATTATATTAAAGAAAACACTGAAACTTTTTTTTATAATTTAAAATTTATCTAAAGGGTTAAGATTTCTATTTTCAATTTTAATTTAAAATAAATTCAAATATTTAATTACTGACAAATTTGTATTAAAATGCTAAAGGGTAAGACTGGTAGATCAAAGTCAAAATCAGAGATCAAATTACATATTAAAAACAAAGTCAAGGGCCGAATTGCACCCAACAAAAATTCAAGGCTCGAATTGCAGCTCGAAGCCAAAGTCAAGGGCTAAATTGGATCCAAAAAATGTCATGGGTCAAATTACATAACGAGACCAAAGACGGGTCAAAAGATACATTAACCCAAATTTATTTAACAAAAAACAAAAGGGGGAATACCATTGCATCCCCCCAAAAAAAACCACCACCACACACACTTTTTTCCATAATCCTCAAATCTTGAATTCTTTTTGTCAAAAATTTTTTAATTTTATCTCACTTCCATGATAGTCTCTTATGGCAACGGGTTTTTCTTTTTTCGTCAGTCAAATTTAGGATTTGCTTTTTTATTTCCCTGTACAAAAATGCGTCGAGCCCGGCACCATCCCGTTTTCGATCTCTGCTTTATCCACTTTTCGTTCACTCCATGTTGGCTTTTGCTTTGAAATAAATCTTTTCGTTTCTGCGTGTCCATAAGGCGCCTTTACAGGGCCGGACCTGGGCCGGGGCAGGAGGGGCGCCCGCCCAGGGCCCATAATATTCAGTCGGAAGAGCTGATTGAGAGATGGCTGACTTGGTAGCTCCCATGGGTTATATTTGTACAGATCTATTTCTGGGCCCATAATAAACCAGGAGGATTTGTTTGGCACGCTGCTCTATCCATGCTACGTTGGGGCCTGTATATTATTTAACCTTGTTTGACTTTGTTTAATTTATGATGCGAATCCTAGGTACATATGTCTTACTATGTTTCACATCTTGCTTCATTTGTCGAAATATAAACTACCATCGTAGTAGAAAAGTCCAATCAGATTAATTAGGGATGGACCAAAGTAGGGTTTGGCTCTTTTAAAATTGTTAAATTAATATATATTTTAGATATTTGTTTTGTGTTTTCAATTCATAATATGTTTTTGCCATCTAGAATTTTATAAATTCACGCCACTTTGTTTTTGGTCCAGAAAATTTCAATCAATGCCTAATTTTCTCACTGAAAATTATATACATCAACCTGTTTAATCAGCATATAGATTGCGTATATCTTTTATTTCATTTAAAATGATCAGATGATTTTGTTCAAGCATATAATCTGATAAATTTATTTGTAATATGGGAATCACCCATGTGATCCAATGAAAAAGCATTTGGCAGCAAATCACCATGAAAAAGGAAATGTATAATGTCAAATAAGTCTCTAACGTTCGATTAAATAATCATTTTAATCTTTTTTTGAATCATTTTAATTCAACGTTTTTTAAGATAAAAAACCTCTGAGATTTGACTAAATAGTCACTTGATTTTTTAATATTTTGGTACCTACTGTTTCATTTTAGAAAGAAAATATGTATTTTAGAGCGTTGATAATTTGTTGACTAACGATTTTCATCCATGGAGAGATATTTTTACTCCAAAATAAACTATTGGATTAAGAAATGCTTAAACATGATGTTTAATTTAAGAAATGTTTTTCCACGAGACAATATTTTTACATTAAAATCAATGATTTTGCATTAGGAAATGCTAGAATGCAATGTTTTTATAAGTATTTGTATACTTAAATATATTTTTGACATTGTATTAAATTATTGTTTGTTTAATTTAATAAAAAAATTCTAATATAAATTTTATATTACATATTTTATTTTATTTTTGAATTAGGGGCTTATTTTTTTATTTCGACTTGACCCAAAAAATAGTCAAGACTGGCCATGCGGGTTCACATATGACCATGCAGGTTCATTTTCTGAAATGAAAGTGTTTTTCTAAGTTAAAGATTATTTTTTCTCATAAGTTAGAGATTATTTTTTCTCATAATAAATTAAGAGAAGCTTTTCTAAGCTGAAATTGTTGAAAAATTACTTGAGGTTAACAATGTCACATTAAATATTGAATGAGCTACCTATGTTATGTAATGAAAAAAATATGTTGAAAAATATCGATGTTGACGCTATGATTTTGTATCAAAAAATGCTCGAAGACAATGTTTTCTATAATTTTTTGTGTGCTTTAATATTTTTTTTGACATTTTTGAGATGATAATTAATTACTATTTGTTTATTTTAATAAAAAAATTAATATCAATTTTATACTATATATATTTTTTTATAATTTTTTTAAAATTAAGGGCCCATTTCTTATATTTTGCCCCGGGCAAAAAAATACCCAGAGCTGGCCCTGCGCCTTTGGTTAATGTTATCTACATTCAAGTAGTTGTGTGTATTGTCAACGGTTAAAAAAAAGTTATAAACATATATTATCTTATAATCACCATGTACTATCTATAATATGTCCAAAGTGGATCACGTATTTTTCCTAGAAATCGGACGTAATGCATCTTTTACTCATTTTTAAGTAGATTCTAAGCCTATTGCATGGGCGTTCAAAGATCTAAACCCTAAAACCCCAATGCTTTATTAATTTATATTTGGAAATATTGCATGTTACAGCATACGGTTTATCGGCATAGAATCTTATTTAACATGGTGTGATGGAACAGAAAGAAAATGTTGTAAAATCATATTTGGTCAATGAAATATGAACATACTGAAAATTATTACAGTGGCTTACTGACCTCATTGTTGTTTAAATGAAAATAGAGATGAGGAGATTTACTTGAGAGCAAGGATCTGGCAAACGGCAGATTATTGTTTAAATGAACAAGCATTTATGTGAAAAAAATTAGCTGGCGCTCATTACAACAAGCTTCCCAAAACACTACTTGTATCTTGTGAATCCCATAAAATATATATTTTTTGATGAATTGGTTCAAAATTAATATTTTATTAAAATATATACTCAAATATCAAGATTTTTAATGCTATATTAAAATATATACTCAAATATTAAAAATTTTAATACTATATCAAAATCTGTTCTCAAATATCAATGTATATCATCATACATTTTGATATTAATTTTATAATCAATTAAAACAGTAAACATTTTCTTATTTTTTTGGGAGCTCACAGCAGATCTGTCGACATTTATGAATGATTGGCCCGTCTTTTAAGTTTTCACGGGCTGATGGCAAATATTTATCTATTTATTTATAATTATTTATATATAATTAATTAATTAATTTTTTTTTAATTCTGATTGCTGTTCTTTCTCTCTTATATTTTAGTCCATTGGTTCTAAACTGATGTTAGTTACTAAATATTTATTTATTGATATTTGAGTCGGCGAGAGTTTGTATGGAATTTGTGCACTTCTAGATTTAAAATTAAATAAAAACAATACAATACAATACAATAAAATACAAGTTATGCCCATACCTATATGGTCAAAAGCCCATTGATAAAACCAGTTGTCCAATAAGTATGGTCCACGAAAAATAATAATCTTAATAAACACTACAAGCTAACACAATCTCAATTCACAGTTTTCAAATATCACTTTCATTATTTATTATAAAAATAAATATTGTTCACACACTCACGTGCATCTCAAATATTAATGTTATTTAAAATTTAATATTATTAGCACATATAAGTTATCTCAATTATTAAAGGGATGATTGTTATTTTTAAAAGTCCTAAATTCGTGTACCAGAGATTATAATAGTGTTTGAATTTTTATTGTCAAATGATTAAGAATATTTAAAAAAAATATTATATTATAATCATCCTAAATTAATGAAAAAAAATTAAATACTATTAATGTGTACCCACAAATTAAATGCGGGATCAATATGCTTAAAAAGATAACGATGAGCTCAATTGGTAGAGGTTAAGCTGAAATTAGTCTTACTCGAGAGTTTAAGACAAATGCATGTGCTTATGTTGCCTCTAATGTTAAAGGGGCCTGGTCTAGTGTGAGTCATCCATCCTAATATACTATCTAGACATAGAAAAGGTACATTCAAGTTCTAGAAATATTTTTTTTTTATAGTGAACACATATACATTAATCATATAAAATTTTTATATGAGGTGGGCACAAATAATTTTATATAAGGGTGAATCTGTCACTGTTCAGGGATCAACCGAAAAGTGTAGGATGCGTTTGTACTATTATTCATCATTACGTAAATTGTATGCAATTCATGGTTCGTTAGCATCAAGTTCGTGGCGGCTTCCCTCAAGTGAAGAAAAGGGCACTTGGCCCATGTTTTATCCCATCATCCCACACCCAATGGCATAGTTGATCTTTCATGTCAATGGGTTCTGGTCCTTGATAAAGTGATGGGGTTACATGGATAATGAAAATGTGATGCAACATCAATGAAGATATAACTTATTTTAATTATGAAACTTATATGGATAATGTCTATGACTACGAGATGAGGACTTTTCTTTTGTTCAAAGACATGTAGATTATGTGCATTTATTTTTTCAAAAAGCTTGTTTATTAGAATCTTCAATATCATGATCACTGTGAACATCTTTAGCTGATATCACATCACTCCAATCCTTCATTTTTCAGTTTAGTGGTTTATTAGTTTTATCATTGGAATAATGGTTGATATTCATTTTGCTAAATGAATCATGGAACTCCAGATATTTCTACTAATTATCAAGTCGGGGACAATTTTTCACCTTAAAATTTGGGATGAATTTGGGTGGGTAGAATCCTTCTAAATGTTGAACAGGTCAGGATAGGGTATTTTGTTTGAATTATCGAGTCGGAGTTTGAGAGGTAAAAAATTCTGTCCATTCAGTCTTACCACGTCCTGTTGTGATCCTTAATTAACATAATACTTACCATATATAAGGAATGAACATGTAACTATCTTAGGATGAATTAATGTTATTTTATCTTAAGTTCGATTTCGTCCCGACTCAAATCAATTTATACTAACAGCTTGTCTTTCTCTAAACTTAATTTCGAAAAATTCACAATCGTATAACATTAAATCAAATCAAAATCTATCATTTTTGAATTTTTTTTCTACCCTTATCATAATAATAATTAAGAATAAGGTATTTTTAAGCAAAAACACGGTAGTTAGAAATAAGTGTTTTTTGAAAAGATGTCTTAAATACGAAATTATTAAAACACTCTCATTTATTCTTATTTTTTCTAATCAATTATCGTTTCTAACATTTATTTATAATAAACATTTAAATTCTCACAAACACTTAAATCAATAAACTACATCTTTCGTAATATTTTTAGAAACACATTTGAATAATAATAAAAAAACTAAATATGAGTGAAAGAGGATAAGATTGTAACGCATTTGTTAGAGTTTGATTGAAATTCAATATAACATAAATTACTTAAAAGATAAAGAAAGAAACCTAGTTTGATCAAAAGTGTAAATTTTTTCTTTTTTTAGTAAAAAAACTCTGAGTATATTTTTACTTTATAAGGGCTAGTTTGGTATTACTTTTAAAAAGTGATGTTGAAAAGTGTTGTAAAAAGATACTTTTAAAAGTGTTTTTGAGAGTGAAATTTAAAATTTAATTGTTTGAGATTGCTGTTAAAAATGATTTTGAAAAGATGAATTGTCAATTTTAGACATTATATTGTAAATTAAAAATATAATATTTAAATTATATTTACAATTATTCATAATAAATTCAAACTAAATTTAAAATAAAATAATTGTATACTCAACATAAATGTTATAAAAAGATACATTAT